CCCCTAAACCCTAAACCCTCTAGAAGTTCATGTGCCCATATGGTATATACTCAGACTCTTGCCCTGAAGATCCCTGAAGTATGTAAACAGGAGCTCCTTTTTGAAGCGCCTATAGGTATATACTACATAGGCGCATGCATGGACCCCTAGGACGTGCCTTGTAAGGTTTGCAGTTCTTTGAAGGTTCTGGCTCGATGTTGGACCCTAAGACTGTGCTTGCACGTATTGCCAAAACTACCGGCCAAAAACCCAACACCCTAAGGGATACATCCTAGGCTCCTAAGCCCTCAATGCCCAAGTTGTATGCAGAACCATTGGGAGGCTTCGCACCAGAAGCTTGAGTCAGAACTTGCGGAAGCCCAAAGACAGGCCAGGTTGGGATTTAACAAGGGTGTCACAGGGGTTTTTGCACTAATTTTCAGTTTGGGCCCCCATGTGCCTATGTAGTATTGACTTCGAAAAACCCGACTCCTGACGCCAATCTTACAGTTGTAGCCTTTACAGTGTTCTGTGCCCGTTACATCATAGACCCCTTGTTAGTACACCATATGGGGGTTTCCGAAAATTAGGGGTGCCTTATTTTGGGATCCTTGCAATAAGGAGCCTACTATTTTGGGCACTATATTAGGGTCCCCTATTCTCGGAAACTCCCGTATGGGTGGTTCTCAAAAATAGGGTCTATTTCGGGTGCCGAACTATATTGTTCCTTGTTAAGAGTAGTTCCCAGGGACTACGATTTTCACAATTACCCATATAGAAACCCTTGAAAACAAATGTCTGCACATCGGTCTGAGGGTTCAGGGTCTAGGTTTTAGGGTTTGAGGTTTAGGGATTTAGTGCCTTCTTGGAGGGTCGGGGGACTTAGTAAGTAGGTAGTAAGTAGACTTATAAGTACCCTAAAAGGGACCCTAATTGGGGTTATGGTACTTATAAGTCCCGAAAATAACCAGTTACTAAGTCCCCCGACCCTCCAAGTTGGGGGGTCCAGCGGCTTAGGGGCTTAGGGTTTAGGGTTCGTTTGCAAATGCGATTCCTTGAGCTGTAAGTCTTTCTTCCCGGCTCCTAGCGCCAAGCCTTAGACCCTAAGCATGCATGGTGTGCGCGTATGTATGCATGTCTGCATATATGTATGTATGTGTATGCCTAGATTTTAGTCAGTGCCTTCTTGCTGGCATAGTTGCATGTGTTCTAGTTGTGAGGTTATGTACTCTTTTTGGCCCGTATAATGATTATCGTCATGATCTGCCTTCACTGCGAATACTGGTGTTGTTGGCCATCGTCTGTGTTTGGCAGTTCATCATACATGCCGTACCTTAAATAGACCACAAACTCTATAAACCTCAAGCCGGAAAATGTAGACCCTGAAGCCCAAATCCCGCCTGTACCGTGGCCGAAGACTGATTGAAATAATCCTAAACCCTAAACCCTCAACCCTGAAACCCTAAACCCCTTAACCCTAAACCCTAAACCCTGAACCCCTTAACCCTACACCCTAAACTCTTAAACCCTAAACTCTCAAACCCTTTAGCCCTAAACCTGAAAAATAAGATCGAGCTTGAGAGGTCGAGCAGAAGCAGCAGGAGCTTGACGAGGCCTCGTCCACGGCAGAGGTCTGCCCAGCCAGCACACGGTTTAGGGTTTAGGGGTTTAGGGTTTAGGGGTTTAACGGTTTAGGGTTTAGGGGTTTAGGGTTTAGGGTTCGTCGCTCTGCCACTGGGCCCTTTTATCCTTTTTGTGGCCTTCGGTTCCTTATTAAGGTACCCAGTACCTACAAGGAAGATCTTTTTATTCCTAGGTTGCTGCGGGTCCTACATAAAAGCCGCAGCAGCGCAGGTGACTATGAGAGAGCCCCTCCGTCTGTAGGCTCGACTGGCTTTGCATATTCTCCGCTCCATATAATATTATTAAGTATAGCATTTGAGGAGGCTTCAATTGTATATGGCCCTGTTACCACCATTAACTACTACTACTACTACTACTACTACTACTACTACTACTACTACTACTACTACTACTACTACTACTACTTCTACTTATACTTCTACTTGTACCTCTACTTCTACTACCTACGTACCTACCTACCTACCTACCTACCTGCCCAAGGATTAGGGTTGAGGATGTTGGTTTCCAAAAGTGCAGATTTTGAGGATTTGCCTACCTACCTACCTACCTACCTACCTACCTCGCGTGCTTTGAGGCTCTGCGCAGCGACCTCGAAGGACGACTCGAGGCCGCCCACGCGGAGGCGGCGGCCTTTAGCCGGAACAGGGTTTAGGGTTTAGGGGTTCAGGTTTTAGGGTACTACGGTTGATGATATAAATCCTGCATTACCCATCGTAAGGAATATACCATACTTCCCATAGCTAATGGTTCTTAAGGTAATGCAGGATTTCTATCATCAACCGTGCTACTCCGTAGGGTTCCGTGATGATGTGTTTTTACCATAAAAGAAACCCTAAACCCCACACACCCGAAGTATCGCATGTCCCACAAACCTGCACGAGGTTGGCAAGGAAGAGCTTCGAGTTCAGGGCCCATGGAACCCTTCAGCCCGGTGTAGATAGCTATGCAGCCCTTACTTGGAGGATCACCGGATTTCGTAAGTAGGCTTACAAGTACCCTAGTTAGGGTTTAGGGGTTTAGGGTTTAGGGAGTAATTGAGGACTCGCTCTCTGTGGTTTAGGGTTTAGGGAGTAATTGAGGACTCGCTCTCTCTCTCTCTCTCTCTCTCTCTCTCTCTCTCTCTCTCTCTCTCTCTCTCTCTCTCTCTCTCTCTCTCTCTCTCTCTCTCTCTCTCTCTCTCAATAAGCATAGGCATGTTCTTTTCTATCACCCTGGCAGCTAGGTCCAACGGTCCTTCAAGTAACAGACCAGTAAAGGAGCTCCAGAAGGGATCCCTGAATCCTTAGACCGATAGACCTTATCGCCCTGGAGCCTTCGCCTGAAGCACGAAGCTTTGATAAACCCGAAAACCCATAAGCCCTAAAGGGGGGTGGGGGGTGGGCTTAGGGTTTAGATGCCTTAGGCAACGTTCGGAGAACCCCATGAAGCCTAAAAAGCCCTCAAAGCGGAATCAGTACCGACACGATTCCATAGGGTTCCTTAACATGATCATGCAGCAATACACCTCAGAACAGTATTCACATCATTAACGCCCTCCATTACTTGGAGGATCATGAGACTTAGCAAGTCAGTTCATTAGTACCACAATTTGGGGCATAATTAGTTATGAGTATAGTTACTTGATTTATGACCCTAGATACGAAGTCCCATGACCCTTTCAACCTGAAACCCGAAAGGATTCCTTACAACACCCTTTCAGGAACCCTAGTCACTTCGTCCCATGATCCTTTCAACCTTAAATGGAACCCCAAGAGAGCCATTACATAAGCCTTTAAGGAACCCTTTCAAGAACCCGAGCCCTAGTTACTACGTCCCACGATCCTTTAACTACCCCTAAACCCTGATAGTAACACTTAGAGGAGCCCCTAAACCCTATGTAAATCCTAAACCCTCGGCTCCATCTGCCGGTTCGCGGCAAAGGTCTCGCTCCCCGAAGGGCCTGGACCTGCAGGAGCTCAGAGCTCAAGAGGAGCCACCGCTGGACTCTGAAGAGTCTTCTGAGAGGCAGGAGGTGACGCTGGAGGGACGTGGCATCTCTAGCAGGCGGCCTCTGCCGTATCCAGTTGGCCTGGTTAGCGTACATGTTGGTACAGAGCCTCCAGGCAATGTTGTGGCGAGGTTTTTTCCGGACAGACCTTGAAACCCTAAACCTTAAAACCCCCATAGATCCCTTATGGATCCCTTTAAAGAACCTTTTAAGGAGCCCTTTAAGCTACTAAGGCCCAGGATCCTTTAAGTAGAGGCATCCTTCGAGCCTTGAGGCCAAGGCCAAAGACGCGAAACTCGCCGAAGCTTCGGAGGCTGAGGCCTCTAATGCATTTCTTTTTCAGGGTTTAGGGTTTGGGGTCTAGGGTTTAGGGGTGTAATGGTTTAGGGCTTGCGGTTTAGGGTTTAGGGTTTAAGGGTTTAGGGTTTAAGGGTATAAGGGTTTAGGGTTTAAGGGTTTAAGGGTTTAGGGTCAAGGGTTCAAGGGTTTAAGGGTTTAGGGCTTTAGGGGTTTAGGGTTTAGGGTCTAGGGTTTAGGTTTGAAGGGTTTAAGGGTTTAGGGTTTAGGACCAGGGTTCGCTTAGAGGGATCCTCAGGGTTTCGGGTTCCTGTAAGGGGATCCATAAGTGCTCCGTTAAATGGATGCATAAGGCATAAGGGTTCCTCTAAAAAGGCGGTTAGGGCAAGTTTTGGGGTTGAAGGGCACGCACGTGTTGGGGTTGAAGATTCCGAGCTTTGCGGTTTAGGGTTGTGGCTTGAAGGTTTCGGGATGTGGGGTTTGGGGTTTAGATCACTTTTCTGATGTGCAGAGACAACAACCCAGAGATAGTCCCTGGTTTAGAGTCTTAGAGTAAGGATTCGGACTGTGAAGTTGGGTAATATAGAAGCCCCAGTGATTGCCACTACTAATCTCTAGTGTTCCCACAGTCACAGCATTATAACACACAGCCGATATTCTGAGCAGGCTAGGACGATATTTCATTGCTCACAGTGCTTCCGGAGGATCCAAGAATGAACAGCTTCTTTGCATGTTTGGCGGAAATCGACTGTTCGCCTGCCGTTCGACATTCTACCTTCTGTTTGTGGCTTGGAAGAAATAGCAGGTTACCCTGAACCCTAAACTCTAAGCCGTGGTTGCCTTTACACATGGCGCATGCTTCGCCCTTCTAGGGGCCTCTGCCCTTCCAAGGCTGAGAGACATGCAATGTCTAAGTATACTACAGACCCCGAAACCCTATTCTGACTATTAAGCCCCCTACTCTAAGCCCTTAGGGTAACACATGTAGCAAGCCTTAAACCCGTAAAGGGAACCCTTTGAAGGAACCCCTTCTGACCATGGAGGCCTCCGACAGTAGGCTTTAGTGGTTCTGTCGAGACTTCTGCCAGCTGCAATGATACGCATCCGGATGCTCTCGGGTGACGAGCTGATGAGCCTGCCTGTGGAGGAGATGAGCCCTACCTTCGGGTTTGCTGGTTGAGGGCTGTTGGGTGCCTTTAGGGTTCAGGGTTTCGGGGTCCTATAATATACCTACAACACCTGTTTCAGGGTTCCTTTTCAACTTGTTATGAGTCCTCGGGAGCTATAGAGCTAAAACTGAACCCTATCAACCCTAAACCCTGCACATGGAGGAGTTCACAAACGTGAAGTCCTTGAAACAGCGTCTGAATCAGCTGCACGGCATGCCACCACGGTTTCGGCAGCAGCTTCTTCTGAATGAACAAAGCGCTTCGGCTTCACCAGGAATCGTTTTCGTTCCGAGCCGGGGGAAGCTTCCCCATGGGACCGATATAGAATTCTAGAACTCCAGCAAAACTCTAAATCCGAAACCCTAAACCCTAAACCCTTGTAGAACTCTCTTGAAATCCTTAGCCTCGAAACCCTTCCTTCAAAGCTCCGAGGTTTGGTTGATGAGGCCAAAATAGAAGCCGCTCCGATGGACTTGGATGTCGTGGTGCTCACTTTCGCGGAGGTCATCAGGGACGAAGTAAGATTTTAGGGTTTAGGGTGTAGGGTTCAGGCTGTCCTAGGTAGCTTCTATATCTTATCAGGGCTGAAGTAAGGCTTTGGGGTGTTTTAGGGCGTCATAGAGCTCCATTCGTTCGACAAGGGTTCGAAAAGGGCTTACGCTTTTATGTTCGGGTGTGCTTCTTGGCTCCTAAACCCTAAACCCCAAACCCTCCCAACACAAAAATACGGGGAGGTCTCGCAGCAGCAAGCCAACGAGCTCGTTGCTGCTGCCGATGTGGGTTCTGCGGAACTGGCGGGCGTGGGGAAGGGGAGGGGTCATACCTAAACCCTTACTTAAGGGTTCGCATCGGTTTGTTTTAAGGTCTTTGTAGGGTTTCTATAGAGGGGTCTTGACTCAACTAAGGCTTCGTACAGGGTTTATTCGGGTTTTTGTAGGGTTTCCTTTGAAGTCCCCGGGCTCCACTAAAATCTCTAGCCTAAATTGTAAACTGGCTAACCCCGAAATCGACCACTCCCTACGCCCTCCTCCAAAAAATAACGGTAACACAGTTGAGGTGGGAAAATGCCCCAAAAATTTACAATAGTAGTAAGAACCTTCATAGTGGCAATAAAAATAATAGCTATTAGTGATGAACGTGAACCCTGATGAGGTGGAGATGATGCTGCAGGTCCCACAAGATCCCAACTTGGCGAATGAGCGTGGGGACCGTCCTCTGACAGAGGCTTCCCTAGGCCGGGATCTGGGTTCTTGTTAAGGAAGTTAGTGTAGTTTAAGCCACCATAATAGGATCTATAGTAAGTAGTACGGCCGCCGTAGGGATCTATAGAAAATAGTAGGGATCTATAGTAAATATTCGGGATCTACAGTAAAGAATACGGATCTACAGTGAAAACAATACGGTTTCTTTATTATGGTAACGTAATAAAGTAAGCCCCTGAACAAGAGCCCAGGGATTTCTTGAAAACTCGGGCCCTAGAGGATCTCCAAAGACCAAGAGAGGATAATAAGGTTTAGGGTTTAGTGCATTTAGGGTTTGTGGGTCCAGGGTTCGTTTGTCTTCAGGTTTACGGGCCGAGGGGCCCCCGAACAAAACAGGCTGCGCAGCCTGAATCCCGAGGTGGCCACGTTGAAGTTGTGCGAGTACTGCTCGAAGCTGGAGCAGACAAGGACGTAAAACCCGAAACCCCAAAACCTTGAACCCAAAACCCTAAACCCTTAAACCCCAAAACCCTAAATCCCAAAACCCTGAACCCCAAAACCCTAAACCCAGAGCCCTAAACCGTATTTGTTTTTTTTTTTCTGCTTGGAGTGGGGCAGAGACCAGGCTTCAGTCTTAGGGTGATCGGGTTTACATAGTGGACCTTCAGTCAAAGGGGAAGAGGAGGGACCCTTAGTACCCCATAATGGGCTATATAATGGGTATATAACTGCTATATTAAGGGTATATACCTAGAGGTCCTTCTTAAGGGTCCCTCCTTTTCCCCTTTGATTCAGGGTCTGGTGGGTTTTAGGGTGGTTAATTAAGGGCTTTAGGGTTTCGGGGCTTGTAGGATTTCAGTTTTGTGGCTTGAAAACTTTGGGGGTTTGGAGCTTAGAGAGTTTAGGATAAGCACGATCCGGGGTCGAAGATTGCCAGGATCTTCCAACCAGCAATGGCTCCACGCCTCTGCTTCTGGCATGCCAGAAGGACCACCTGTATCCCGAAACCCTACAAAATGGGGGGGGGGGGGGGGGGGTATGATGGACACTTGGGGGCTATGCGACAGCAGTCGCTGTACTGTGCTTATTCAAACGCAACAAAAACACGCGTCAAATAGACGCTGAATTTTTTTCATGTCTATTGCGCTCAGTGCACATGCAACGCAACGGCGCTAAGGCCTGATATACGAAATCAGCGCTGGGGCGCTGGGGCGGCGTGGAGGGGCGCTGCATGGGGCGCTGGGGCGCTGGAGCGCTGGGGCGGGCGCTGGAGCGCTGGGGCGCTGGGGCCATGGGGCGCTGGGGCGCTGGAGCGCTGGAACGCTGGGGCGCTGGGGCGCTGGGGCGCTGGGCGCTGGGGCGCTGGGCGCTGCGCTGGGGCGCTGGGGCGCTGGCGCTGCGCTGGAGCGCTGGGGGGAGCGCTGGAGCTGGGGGGGCTGGGCTGGGCGCTGGGGTCGCTGGGGGGGCGCTGGAGCGCTGGAGGCTGGAGCGCTGGGGCGCTGGAGCGCTGGAGGCTGGGGCGCTGGGCTGGGGCGCTGGAGCGCTGGGGCGCTGGGCGCTGGAGCGCTGCGGCGCTGGGGCGCTGGGGCGCTGGAGCGCTGGAGCGCTGGGGCGGGCGCTGGAGCGCTGGGGCGCATATACATATACATATACATATACATATACACATACACATACACATACACATACACATACACATACACATACACATACACATACACCTACACGTACACATACACATACACATACACATACACATACACATACACATACATATACATATACATATACATATACATATGCATATACATATACATATACATATACAGCAGCATCATTATGTTCATCATCGTCATCCTCGTCTTCTTGACTCGTGGCGAGAGAAGTCTCACGTCCTGCGGGCGCCTGTCAACTCACTTCGTGAGTCGTCTGCTCTTGGCAGCGGCACGTGTGCCCTTTCGGGAAACACCTATTTGCACCGTAGTGCCTTATCTCAGAGCAGTATTCACATCTGAGAAGCAAAATGATGGACATCCATCAGTCGTCCAAGGTTACAAGGTATGGTTTGGGATATTGCACTGTTGCTGTACACTTGTTGTGCTTTCCACGGCGAGCAGCTTCTGTACGAGCAGCCTCCATGCGATCCTCAAGTATCGTCACCTTGGTGGTAAACTTTGACACTGTCTGCTGCAGAGCTTCCATGCCCTCCGCCAACGCTTGTAGCTGTGCTTCGAGCTTCACTCGCAGAAGAAACATGTGGCTTGCCATCCAGTTGAGATCCTCTTGCGTGAGATACGGCTGCTCCGGATCGCGATGCCTGACTTGTGGCATGATATGAAGAAGATTCGGTATCTACCTCCGTAGGGGTCTCTGGCGCAGCTGCTGCTTGAGAGCGCTGCACGAACAGCACATACATGTTAGTGCTGAGATGCTCAAGACCTTGCTCACACAAAGGTATAGGCACTTTTTCGTCATCGAAGTGCCAGTGTACATCGTCTTGCAAAAGGACCGTGGTGTAGTGCCCACTGGTGGGCAGCCGACCATGATGCTGTATGTATGCTAAGACATTGTAGCTTTCCCAATGGATGACTAAGTTATCAGCCGTACTGAAGACCGGGAGGCGAAGGATTTTGGGGATGAGGTAGGGTTGGGTCTGCTTAACGGCCTTGCCCCTAGCACTGTACACAAACCTGGGCAGCTGTATACACAACCAGCTTGGTGCCTGACGGTACGCCTGAAGATCAGCATCACTGTGCCATACTCCGATGAGTTGCTGAATTGTGATAGCATGTGATCCCTGACTGCTGGGGAGCTGGAGTTGCAGGCACCGTGCCACATGTGTCTGAGGCCTGATTTCTAGGCCTTCATCAGTCAAACGTCGCGACTCCCAGCGACCTTGAAGCACTTGTCTGGTTAGTCTGGGGTGCAAGTGGTCTATGAGCTCAGCCACATCATGCTGGCGCCGAGGGGCAGACCAACCTAAGAGTCCGAACCCAATCAAGCGAGATGCCACAAGAGCACTCCTTGATCCATCCCAAAACACCTGCGGCAGCAAGGATTGACGGCCATTATGCTGTAGAAGGTGTGCAAAGCAGTACACGAAGGAATTGAGGTAGCACTGATTGTCGCCCCCTTTTAGCAAGAATGGCAGTGGTAAGGACAAGACCTGCGGCGGCACGAACAGGTGCCCTGGACCTGCTACACGGTCCTGGGGCGATGCGGTCTCGGCTGGGGTGGGGATTACATTTATGAGATTTGGGGCCTCTGCTGGAGCATTCCTCATCGGCGACGATAGGTGATGTTCGCCAGCTGCTTGGCCAATGCCGATTGAGGGAGTCGATCCTTCTTGAGAGACACGCCTATGAGGTGCATCACCGAGTTGGCCGCGAAGACGGAGAAGGCTTCGTACATCTCGAGGGCGACAGGTCCCCGCATCGCCACTTCCAGATGGAAGGTGGAGACCGAGTTCGTGGTTGTCTCCACTTTGCCCAGCCCGGACGAGCCAAAGCGCTGAATGATCTCGCCCTTGAGCTCTTTCAGCATCCATGACAGCAGCCGAATGGCCTCCGTATGCTGCAATGCCGGACGATCCGTGTCCTGGACCAGCTGCTTGGAGCTCCTGTCCCACTTCAGGTACACCCAAGAGTTCTCCTGATTGAGCCAGCCCCGTTTCACAAGAGCTGCTTTGCCCTCTTCGGTGGCCACCTCCTTCTGCATGCGATTCTGAAGTTCCTGTAGCATGGACTGCATCAGAAGAGTTCGAAGAGGAGATTTGAGAGCTGTGCTGCCCTCCTCCTTCTTTTTGTTCCACTCGCGACTGACTTGGAGCAAGGCACGAACCACCCCTTCCTGCTCGTTCTTCATAACTAAAACGAAGCATTTCTCCTGACGGAGCCTGGCTATCGTTTCTTCTTGCTGCAAGATGATCCGACTGATCAGCCGAAGAGGGTCCTGTTGTGGAGGGGGGTTGCCGTACATCTGCATTCCCATGTCCAGGCCCTGCCCCATTCGCATGCCTAGTTGTGGCATCTGTCTCCCTGCCATCTGCCGAAACGCCTGCTCCGGTCGTGGGCGCTTCAGCGACCGATCCGTCATGAGGTCCGCATCCGCCCTCCCCACGTTGTAGCAGTGACTGAAGATGTCCGCCTCCAGCTCGTGATCCAGAGCTTCCCCGAACATCCTGTGCAGTCGCTTGTTCTTGCTGGAGGTAAGCTGCTGCAATGCACAATTGAAACATGGGAGTGCACTGAACGACGTGCCGGCCTGGCGCTCCCACTTTATGTGAGCACCACAAGCAATTGCGGTCCCTCGTCAAGTGGGACTTGAACGGTTTGCAGAGCTCAACTGCACGGGGAGCCAAATGTCCTAATGCAGGGCCGTGAACCTTATTAAAGTGTTGCTTGACGTGTCGGTAATCAGCTATCCACTGATGACAGATGGAGCAGTAGTGCCGCAGTTCCTTGAGCAAGGAAGGCACCGACAGCCAGAACTCCCATTGATGCAATCGACGCACAAAAGCACTTCGGAGGATGAGTGGCATGTGTTCGACATTTTCACCTTCAAAGGCAAGGTCTTGTGCCGCTGGCGGCGCAGCAACCGGTGCCGGGGTTTGCTCCTCATCGTAGGGCGACCTCACCATGCTGTCCCCGCCCAACTTGACACACGCTCCTGACTCTATGTGGTGCTTGAGATGAGACCACCTAAAGAATTGGCGATCACACAGTCTACACTGTGGCATCCCTGCGTGCGCGTGGAGGTGGGGCACGAATGTTGTAGGGGTACGAGTGGAATGCTCAGGCAGTTGCTTGTGTGTCAGTTTGCTGTGTACCCGCATTGCGTTTTCACTGACAAACATTTCCTGACAGTGAGGACAGCTAACCACGGTGTCTGAGCTAGGGCCTTGACCTCCTGATGCAGCAGGCTATCCAGTCGGCTGGACACCACTTCTAGATGCCGAAGGGCCTCCGGGGAAGCAGTGATATCCGGATCGAACTCTGAAGCCCATTGTACCCGAGCCCGGTGCTTGTCAAGAAGACACTGCAAGGTCCATCCTGGCATAGCAAGGCCAGCTTTCTCCCAGACCATAGGTGTGGTGATATGGGTGAGATGCGATGGAAGCCTGAGAATTGGTCGGAGATGCCTGGTGAGCTCAGTGATCAAGCGGCGAAGGGTTTGCTGAGACAGGCCGACAACCGACTGTGAGTGGAAGACACTGGTGCACACGCAAGCCTGCCATAATCGTACACGGTGGGCTTGACTCAAGTGGTGAGAGCCATTGAGGGTTTTGCGGAGACCCTGATATTTCGCCTGACAGGCCTTTAATCTGTGCTGCATATTCTTGGCGAGCCGCCTGTGGTATGACACAATGGATCCAAGGTATTCGTGTTGATCCTTGATGGGGATGCCACACTCTCTACCATGTACTTGAACCCTCAGATGAAGAACCCCGTCCTTTTCGAAGGTGGCTTCATGCTTAAGGGCTGAAGTATCCTTACCTACCAGTCGGAGAAGAATGGCCGTTTTCTGGTAGTTGATGTTCATTTGAAGCGTCTCAAGGGTTTCAAGAATAAGCTGAAGATCCTCCCGGGCCTGTGCAAAGTCCGAGGCTACTCGTATGGTCCAAGAACCCCAGCAATCATCAGCAAAGATGGTCAGGACTCGTTGAATCCACTCCTGGCTCCTCTTATCCCTAAGAAGCAGCATAAAGGAGGTCGTGAAGTAGGCCCAAAGGTAGGGTGCTATGCAGCATCCCTGCTTTATCCCCGTGGAGGTTTGGGTGTATCCAACCTGATCCCCCACTGCGAAGTGATATCGAGCCTGATAGTGCAGGTGTTGCACCACTTCAATCGTGGCTTGATCGACTCCGTGATCCCGGAGAGCCTGGTACACCAGTCCCCGCCGCACACTGTCAAAAGCACGGGAGAGATCCAGCGACAGTGCCATTCCGCCCTGGCATTTGGGTTGTGTATGCCCTGCCTGTTGACCAAATCGGTTCACTCGCGTGTGATGTAGGAGGGCCTCGACCTCAGTGAAGTGTGCATGGGCTCTCGTGAGAGCGTCAGCCGTGCCACGACCTCTGGTGTATGCGAACTGAGGCAGGTGACGAAGCACCGGCAGCAATGCCCCCAGCAGCTGGTCCCGAAGGGACGCAGCCAGAACCTTGCTCGAGGGACTTTGTAGTCCTATGGGTCTCATGTTGGACACCGTGGTGGGCTGCTTTGGCAGGCTTTGGAAGCCAGACCACCCTGAAGAACCCCCGATTTGCCCTTTTGAAAATGTTGCCTGATGGCCTGCCCTAGGAGTGGACCGATCAGGGTAGCACATGCTTTCCAGCAAGCGGCTGGGGCAACATGTTTCGGCACTGCTTTGCTGAGGCCTAGAGAGGCTAATTCATGGGTTAAGACGTTATCCTCCAGGTGCAGATCCATCGAGAGGGTCTGAGGTGGTGGCTCATCCTCCAGAGCAGCAAAGACCCCATCGCCATAGTCAACAATGGCCTGCAGTTGCTCAGCTGGAGTGAGCAGATTACCCTGGGAGTCCTTCATGCGAGATGCTTTCAGCTGGCTCTTGGGCGTGAGCCTCCGTACGATGCAGTGAAGGGTTCGCTGGTCGCCCCTTTGGGCAGCAGCCTCGGCATCATCGATCAGTCCATGCAGGAATTCCTTCTTGAGGCTTTTGCTCTGTTGTCTTAGCTGAGCAGAGGCCTTGGCAAAGGCCGTCAGCTGTCGCCATTTGGTCCATATATGCCTCGAAACGTGCACACTGCAGGCCGTTTGGCAGCTCGGTAGAGTTGCCAGGTGTGGCTGGCTGATGCACGAAACCTGGGGTCAGCACTGACCCGGGCATCTGGTCGCGCAGCTGTTGGAAAAACAGTCGAGGCGGCCTGACGCATGATGGTGTTGAGGCTGGCTTGAGTGGCTGAGAGATCCTGCACAGGGACCTCTGAGAGCCGGTCGCCAACAAGCTGTTGCAGCTGAAGCATCGCAGGGCCGTGGTGCCGAACTGCCTCTTGGAGGGCAGCTAGGTCAATGCGAGCTTGGGGTGCAACTTCAGGCTGATGCTGGCAGAAAAAGGGTTGTGTGAGGACTGTTGCAACCACAGGATAGTGTCCTGAGAGGCGGGCTGCCCCAATCGGAAAGCCCTTCAACGGTTTTGCTGCTTTGGCTGGGCCACCGGACATTCGTTGCCTGGTGGCCACGAAGTCGATCTGCGAGCTACCTGTGGGACTATAGAAGGTCGCGGGGGAACGAGTATGCCAAGTATTTAAAACCGTAAGGGAGTGCTTAGAGAGTAGGGTTTGCAGGTCGTCGTCGTAAGTGCCACTATGTACAAGGATCGAAGGACCCACAACTCTGGCTTCCACTTCAAGGGTTGCATTGAAGTCACCGCACAGGAGTACCTCGCACCTCTGTGGCAGGGCTGTCAGAGAGGTGTCCAAGGCAGCCCATGTAGCCTGTCGAAGAGCACGGTTATTGGCCGTAGTGAGGTGACTCCGCCACACATGTTGGTATATACCATAGACCGCTATCGGGAGGTTGGTGCTACGCATCGTGGCCCTAAGCAAGAAGAGTCTACCTGGGATGAGCTCCTGCGCACAGGGGTCCTTGAATGTCACCTTGTTGAGCATCACCAAGATTCCACTGAACCTGCCATGCGCTGCCGGGTCCGTGCTGCCGGCCGTGTGCATCGCGAGCCACTTGCCCGATGTGAAGTCACTGGTCTGACCCCAATGTGTTTCTTGCAAGACTATTAAGTCAAGTGTGGCCTGCTGATCGCACCAAGCTGTCAGTTCCTGGTACATAGCTGAATTCAACCCTCCCGTGTTCCAAGACATGAGACTGATCGAGCGGGCCTGTCGAAGTTGAGATCTCCGTGGCCGGGGCCGTGACCTCCATGGCAGTGAGGTATTTGGGATCGGTGGGGCGCCTAAGGTTTGGGTCGTGCGCCATTGGCCTCGGTACCATGTTCCTCCTTCGGAGGAGGTCCCTGCCCGATGTCTGGCACGTTGATCAGACTGGGAGCTCTAGGTGTCCGCGGGTGCGCCTGGCCACACTGCTTCCCCACTGATGCGGCAGCAACAGTGGGTCCACCCCCTCGCCCCTGCTGTCTTATTGATTTGCACTCCTATCACCAGAGCGAGAAGACAGCTACCGGATTTGGGACCGGATCGGCCTTGGTGGGACGGGAAGGCATTACTGCAGTGATGCTTAGGGTCGGGCTTATCTCTGCGGTGTTGTGACTTATGGGGCTTAGGGGCACCAGGGGCATTAGGGGGATGTCGGTTGCCTGGATGGGCCACAGGTCGGCCAGCGCCAGCCAGACACGGCCGGCGGCACTGCCATCACAAAGACTGCAGATGGGTGGTGAGGATGCAACAAGAGCTGATATCCCTTGTGGCAGAGGCTACGTGGTCGACCCCATACAATCGCGGCTGGCCTGTGTTCAGTCCTCGGCTTCGGTGAGGCTGGTATTGGTGGGTCGCCCGATACTCGTAGTCCGACCATTCTTGCAGAAAGCTTCCTGACAAGCGTTGCGTTGCCAACCCCTGAGTATGCTGCCAGCTTTCGCTGCGTAGCCTCCTTCGAAGAGCTCCCACCCTTGATGCAAGAGATCTCGAGGAGGGCGGCGGGTCTTCAGCCGCCAGCTGTCGTCGGAAAAGCGTGCAGAGCATATCATGTGCTTCTTCCAGTGCACTGTTTTCCAGAATAATGGAAGTGTCCGACCAGTAGCCGGCTGGGTCATCGGAGCCAGCTGGGGCCTCTTCTTCCTCATTGTCCTCGTCGGTATCTTCAGAAGAGGAGCTGTCTGAGGAGATGCTCGACCTCGCTGCATCTGCCAGTGAGCTTTCGCCTCGCCTTTTAGTGTTGGTCCCTCCGGAGGGGCCTGCACCATCATCGCGATCTCCTGCGGATCGCTTCTCGGCTCTGCCCTGTCCATCATCCACGTCACCTCTGTCAGGCTGCACATAGTCTGGCATGGGTCCATGAACCGGAATGGGCCGTGGCGGCCCGGCTGGCATATATAGTCTGTCAGCAGGAGGCGGGCCGTCACGAAGGTGATCGCGAGGCGTCTGATCCAGGCCCTCGTCCGACTTGTCGCTGCTCGTCGCAGCTGGGGAGTCATCGCCATCTCGCATAGAGCTTTCACCAAAGTGAACCCCAAGACACAGGAACAACAACCGCAAAGCCCGAAACCCCCAACCACAGGGCTTCTCTCGTCTTGGGCCGTGGGGCTTCGTCATCCTCGTCAGCAGCATCAGCAGCAGCACCACCACCATCATCGTCATCAACAACAACAGCAACATCGTCAGCACCATCACAATCATCATCATCGTCTTCATCGTCATCATCATCATCGTCTTCATCGTCATCATCATCATCGTCATCATCATCATCATCATGACCATCATCATGACCATCATCATCATCATCATCATCAGCATCACCGTCATCAGCATCCTTGTCAAGTCATCACGAACAGGCATAGCATCATCATCTTCATGTTCTATTTGACGTGTTGCTATGCCTGACAATCAATCGTCCTAGAGCAGCTTTTGCCTAGTAAAAGCACAAGGGCGTCAAATAGACGCAAAGCGTCCAAGGCACGGGGGGGGGGGTATGACCCCTTAATAAGAGGGTATAACCCTTAAAACAGCAGGTTTTGGGATCCCCAGATAGTCTGGCATTTGGGGTTTTAGGGGGCTTCAATGTAACGGAACAAACAGGGGGCTTAATGGTTCGAATTGGGTAGTGTTGGGATAAATCCTTAAGCCGAAAGTTTGTCACCAAACCTTAGTCCCTGAACCACCCTCAGGGCCATGTCGAAGTCGTCTGTCTTCTGTTGGAAAGAGATGCCAACACAAATGTCGCGACCAAAGATGGCGCCACGGCTTTGATGTTGGCAGCTGGAGGCGGATATGTTGAAGTTGTAAAGCTTTTAATGGACGCGGGCGCTAAGAAGGACTTGGCAACCTACCAAAGTGGCTTCACTGCTTTGATGCTCTGTTCACAGCTTGGACACGCTGAAGCTGCTGGTCTGCTACTGGAGGCAGGTGCCGACAAGGATGTGCCAACCTGCGACGGCGTCACGGCTTTGATGCTGACATCCGAGAAAGGCCATGCCAGCGTCGTACGACTGCTCCTAGAGGCCAGGGCTGTCATGGACTCGGCTACGCCGGGCAACGGCAACACTGCACTGTTACTGGCATCGCGGCATGGTCATTTGGAGGTGGTGCGCTTACTCCTGGAGTTCGGAGCTGATAAGGATCTCGCGACTCTCGAAGGAGGTACTGCCCTTATGCTGGCAGCACAGGAAGGTCATGTGGAAATTGCGAGGTTGCTGCTGGACATGGGTGCAAGCAAGGATTTGACAACGAGCAACGGCACCACTGCGTTGATGCTGGCATCTGGCGAAGGACATCTCGGAGTCTTGCAGCTGCTTCTGAACGCCGGCGCTGACAAGAACTTAGCCACCCATGGCGGCAAGAAACGGTCTGGCTGAGGCTGATGTGTTCCACTGCGAGACAGGCACCACGTCTGCAACAGTAGTGCAGTATAATGATTGAATCACAAAGCCCCGGGCTCAATCGAGTTTAACCAGCCTCTATACCTCCAGAAATGCCGTGCGTGAAAACCTTAAGCCTTAGGCACCACTACCTGCCGCCCTCGACATTCGGGGTCTGGTCCAGGGCCGCTGATGAACCCAGAGACTCCAATAGCTTTTAATTCAGGAATATTCCTTAAATCACATGTGGGGATCCTACTAGAATTTAAGGTATATTCCTTAATTAAGGGACCTAGAGTATGCCCTTATTCCCTTTTTTAGGGTTTAGGTTTAATTTTAAGGTACGGTATATTCCTTAATTAAGGGATATTGGAGTCTGTGGGAATGGGGATTTTCGGGAGCCGGTCGTAGAGTTGCTGGTTGCAGAGACGTTTGGGTTTGGTTTAGGGTTTAGGGTTTGGGGTTTAGGGTTTAGGGTTTGGGGTTTAGGGTTTAGGGTTAAGTAGCTGAGTGGATACACTTTACACTTTCTGGGATAACAGTACGCACTACAAAACCGAAAGTGTAAACTTTCTGGGGCTTAGGAACTCAGCAACTGCATAGTATGGTGGGCCTTGACGAATGATTGGACCAGGGTTGGGGGGTGAGGGGGGGATATATCGCAGTATACTTGTATATAGTACGGAGCCCGAAGGCATAATATTGGCTATCAGTCAGGTTTATACAGGGACATAGGTATGTGCTTTGGGCTGTTATGTAGTCCCAATATATGGGCACTGTAGGGTCACAGCAGTCACGGAATTTTAGGGATAGATGCATTCCCGTCCCTTGTTGCCTTTAGTGGGGAGATCAGGTTCAGACATCTGCTCTGAGCCGGTGAACTCAGCGTCGAAAAGGACGACAACCCAAAGCTCTTGACTCTTGACGACCTGGACTCCAAAAGCTTGCGAAGTAACAGCCGTCTATAGTGGGCATAGGGACATGCCATATATGCTAAGACCGTTGGCCGTCGTTCTAAAGTTGCCAGCACGAGTGCTAGAGGAATAATATCAGAAACGAAGCGTCGGAGTGGTAGCAACACTGACTAGGTAGGGCTTTGGGACATTTTATATTTTCCCTTATTGGGCTTAAGAGGATCTTATTTACTAATATTTTAAAAACGCTTCAGAAGCCCCACCTAGCTGATGACAACTGCAATAAAGGTCAGACTTATGAGTTGTCTGTAATACTGTTGACCGACTGCCCGTAATAGGGAATGCGTTAGAAGCTGCCCCCAGACTGTAATAGTGACTATAAGGATTATATCAGGGCCCGATTATATTCCTATTGTACCACTATTACAGGGTGGGGGCCCATTCTAAGGAATACGCCATAGTTCTCATAGTTCACAGTCCCTGCAGGGTCTGCAGGAGTTTGACCATAGCCGTAACACGGAGGTTTTGGGGCCCAGGCTTGGGGCAGAACTCTACCTAGACTCCCCAACTATCCTCTAATATACCCCCAGATACCCACCACTGTTGATGGACAAAATCCTGCATGACCTTCGGGACCCTAAACTATGGGAATTATGGTGTATTCCTTATAATGGGTTATGCAGGGTTTTGTCCATCAGCCGTATGAAGGGCCCCCTAAACCCCAAACCGTAAACTGTAAGGACTCCATGACAGGGCCCTTGGGGGCAGCTTTTAGAGCTGATCTCCTTGGTGGAGCCCTTGTGGTCCTTCATAGTGGGTATTCAGGGTAGAGGTAGTTGGGGCCTAATAGCTAGAACCCTGTGTCCTACACACGTTCTATCCTGATTCGTTAAGCCGCTTCTCAAAAGTTTGTAGACCTTCGAATGAACCCGTTACAAAGACTCAACTAAGGCCCGTCCCTAAAAGCCCTGAAATCCTATATAAGCCCTGAATTTGAGTAGACCCTAACCCTTAAACTTCTAAACCCTAAACCAGAAGAAGCTTCAAGCAGGCAGCGCAAAGTGACCTCGCCGCCGAGCTTCAGAAGGCGAAAGATGAGGCAGCTTTCGGGCTTTTTGGGGGTTCCTTAAGGGTAGTTTACTTAAGGGTTCCTTTAAAGCCTCAGCTTTCGGGCTTTTTGGGTTCCTTAAGTTTACTTAAGGGTTCCTTTAAAGCAGAATTTGTACTTGTTAAGTTTTGGGATCGAGGGTTTGGGGTTTGCGGCTTGAGGTTCATGGTACGAGGTTGTTGGATTAGGGCTCAGGGTTCAGGTAGACTTACGCAGGCGGTAGGTGAACGTAGTTCTATTTCTTAAAGAAGAAGTTTGGCAGTCTGCTTTGTAGGTACTTGGAACCCTTTGGAAGGCACATCGGCGAGGGTTCGGGGCTACACTGAGGTTTCAAGCGTCAGGAGTGAAGTTTATCGGCATAACGTTTATGGGGTTTGGGTTGGAGGGTTTAGGCTGTGATTATGGAGTCTAGGGCCGTGGGAATACGGATTCGTTGAATTTTTACGACTATAGAGGCACGGCATATAGGTATGAGGGTTTAGGGCTGCAGGGTTGTTGAAGGTTCACGGGTAGTCACTATAGGTATTGTGCCCAGAACGAAAGGAACCAGGCTGTTGACATCCGTAGCGAATCAGCTTTACCGGCCTGGTGCGGAGACCATTGAGTGTTAGCATTGTTTACGATAGTGCTGATGCTGCTGATATAGGCCCTGAATAAATACCTATACAATTTGAGGGCTCTTTTTCAAATATAGTGTAATGGGCACCAAAACCCTATTCTAATCTGAAGGCCTCTACCGTACAATCTTCCGCGTCACTATTATATTATACTATACCCTTAATCAGGCAGCCCCCAGAATAGTATTGGTAATTATTGAGGCCACTCTATTACGGCGCCGGCTGCATCGTGGCGCAAGTTCTGTCCCTAGCTCCGGCAGCATGGTCCGGAGTCCTGAGGCCGCATGTCCATGAGGCCAGGCTCGTAGGGTTTAGGGTTTAGGGTTTCAAGGTTTTGGGTATTGGGTTTTGGGTTTAGGGTGTTGGGTTTAGGGTTGTGGGTTTGGGGTTTAGGGGTGAAAGCTGCACAAGTTCGACAAGATGACGAACACTGGGAGCACGTGCAGCAGGCAATGGACTAATTCTGCGTAAACGCTGAAACCTAAGTTCCTCCGGGTCTTCAAGCCACCCTAGACTGTAGACCCTGGACTGGACCACCTTCCACCAGAACCCAAACAAAACACATTAAAGCTGGATCAGGCAGCCACCATCGAGCGTGAACTTTCGGCATCACTCCATGCAGCTGAGGCAGCTTGTCAGCAGAGTTTAGCTGGAGAGCCTATGTAGCAAACCCCTAAACCCCAAAACCCTCCCACACCAGTGGGTTCTGCCGACCTTAACTGCTAGGCGGAAAAAGGTGTTCAAAAAAAACAACCCTAAAGCCCTAAACCCCTAAACCCCAAACCTTAAACCGTTACAGCTACCTGTGCTTAGGGTTGGGGAGCGGAATAGTAATAATTTCCGCTTGTAATCCGTATTATTGCATGATTCTGCAATATGTACCAAGCTCTAGTCTAATTATTTTCCAAAGGCCCTATATCGTTTCATCCGTTTGCATCCAGCAAACTACAGACTTGGAATAGGAATGTCATGCGGAAGACGTTTAGCAGATCAGCATGGCGGACCCTAACCCTCAAGCCTATACCGCGCACAGAATCGTCTCAGCATTGACAAACCGTCCCTAATCGCCACAGGTTTCAGAACTTCTGTGTTGGTGGTTATGCTTTTTAGGGCTTTAGGGTTTAGGGGACACGAGGTCAGGATCAGCCCGCACTGTTGATGATATACATCCTGCATTACATTAAGGGCCCTAAGGCCCTAAACTATGGGAATTATGGTATATTCCTTATTATGGGTAAAGCAGGATTTCTATCATCAACCGCGGTAGCCGTCGTCAACCATTCAGGCCAGCATTGCTGCTATTCCAGTTTGCCCTGTTCGTGAGGGTGCTTCTCGTATTGACGTAGTCAATGAGTCGAGATAGTTGTCGTTATTGCGACGGCGAGGTATGGTGGTGGTAACGGCAACAATGACAATGATAGTGACGATTTTTTAATGCTCTTCTCTGGCTATTGAGAGAGGTGCTGGGCGGTTCTATTCACTGTTGTGAAGGATACCCAACCCTCGTTCCTTAAACCCTTCACTGTTGTGAAGGATACCCAACCCTCGTGCCCTAAACCCAAACCCACAAGCCTGAAACTCTGCGCCGCAGAGCTCGGCCCCCAGGTGGCGCGCGACCAACTCCAGTCGCAAATAGATGCCCTTGCTGCCAAGGCGCAGACAGGGCTTGAAACTGGGGGGGTTCCTTTATCGGGGTCTCATAAACGGGATCGTGCTCAGAGTCTGCATTGAAGTCCACTCTGTTCTGATGATACCACCAGATCTCCCCATCTCTCCCGTTTATCGCTTGTTCACTCGGGTTCACAAGTCCAAGGTTGTGGGGTTTAGCACCTGGCGCCGCCAGGGACTTGGTACTGTTCCGCTTCCGTCCTTGTGGTTTTAGGTACGACGCGCACCGGGGGTAACAGCTCTCCGCGGAGCGTGTGATTGTCAACGAGAACTGAAAACATGCATCGCCTAATCGTACAACAGGGCAATGTTCATTCGCAACGTCTTGTCGCAGTAGCGCGAGCTTCCGATGGATATCAGGTGGCGCTCACAGCCTAGGGATCTACGGACCCAATCCCTCAGCCCGCCTTAAATGCAGCACTAACCCTCCCGGAACCGTAAGCTCGAAACCCTAAACCCTCAACCCTAAACCCATATCCCTAAACCCTATACCCTAAACCCCAAACCCTAAACCCTAAACCCTAAACCCTAACCCTCCCGAAACCGTAAGCTCGAAGCCCTGAGCTCGACTCCCTGCGCTCAAGCCGAGCCCAAGCCTAAGCCGAGGTGGGAGTTTTTATATATTAGGGGTACCTTATTTTGGGGTCCTTATAATAAGGATCATACTATTAAAGGTACTATATTAGGGTCCTTATAGTAAGGACCCTACTATTTAAGGTACTATGTCAGGGTCCCCGATTTTCGGAAACTCCCAGGTGGAGGAGAAAGACCGCGAGGTCACAGACGTGGCAAATGCGGCACAGGCAGTTCGATGACCGATGCTACCCTTTTTGTTCTTCATAATCTAAGTGGCTCCTACATTATTATAGTACCCTTATAGATCCCCTTATACTAGCCCTTATCGACCCACCCTAAAAACGGCCCAGGGTTCCTACCTATAGCCTCCATTATAGTTCCTGTTTTTGGTTAACCAAAATCTCTATTATAGGATCCCAACCATAAAACTGGTTAACCAAAAAAACGAACTACAATGGAGACTCTAGGTAAGTTGTCGTGGCCAGCATCGAAACCATAGCGACTGACCCAGCTACTTATATTGGTGTCTGCTTTCGTTTGTTCGTCCATCTTCATTAACCTTTGATTTGATTTGTCTATCGGTTTTTCGGTGTTAATCGCTCGGCCACTGCCACTGTTGCTGCTGGTGCTCTGTTGCTACGGCGAACCCAAGCTACCGTTCTGCTTCCTCCTACCAGTACTGTTTCTGCTTTTGCTACGGCTGTGGCTGCTAAGATGTCTTCGTTCACCCACCAGCAACAGAACCAGCACCAGCTCCCTAAACCCTAAACCCCTAAAGCCTTAAGAGTCGAGGAGGAAAAAGGCGTTCAAAAAAAAACTAAATCCCTAAACCCCTAAACCCTAAACCGTGTTCTTGCCCCCTACACCTTGGCTACATCGTGCTTGAGATCTTCGACCGTCAATTGTGGAAGATGTCCCTGTTAGAGCACTCTCAAGGCCATGACCAGGTGAGGTCTTCGGAGGGATTGGAATAGTCAAACGCCAAGATCCCGATACCCTACTGCCACAATGCGTACTCTCTAACCCCCAATGCCATAATATTACATTAATACCCTCTTTGCTCAGCACTGACTGCCGTTCAGGCCACCAAAGCGGACCTCACAGCACAGCTCAAAGCGGCGAGGGAGGAGGCGTCCCTGGTGGGCTTGCTGGGGGTTTCAAGCGCGGCCCCCTAAACCCTGAACCGAAAGCCGTCAAACCTGAACTCCAAGCCCTCCACCCTAAGCCATCCTAATTCATACACAGTCCTGGGAATAGCTTGGGGCCTGGGGCTTCAAGGTTCGATTTCTGCGCCAACCCAAGTTGTCCTCGGCTGAAGTACCGATGTCCTAGGTCTGTTGTTGAGTTTGTGATTGAAGGATCGTATAGGGGATTGACTTAGTGATTAACTAGCAGTAATTTGCCTTGGGGTATGTTGGTTACTTTGATGCTGAAGATGTTGCTGCCAATGATGACAATGATTGCGGAGGTTGGGCGGTAGGGGTATTGGCGAGCCCCTCCTACGTACAGCTGGCATCTTTGTTTTTGATGTTTAGAAGATGTTGCGCTTCAGGGTTTAGAAATGTTAAGCCCTTCTTGGCAGCACCTGGCTTTTGCACGGTATTTACAGCGTTTTCGTACTATCCGACCACCTGGGGTTTATCAGTTTCTACCCCGTCGAGCTTGCAACTCCAGCTGCTGTCGCAGTTTTGGGGCCTGGGCCCCTGCAACTTCACCGGCTGTGACAGTTAAGGAAACTGAGCCTCTGCAACTTCTGCAGCTGTCACAGATAAGGAGCCTGAGCCCGTGCATCTTCTGCAACTATCGCAGTTAAGGCGCCTAGCAGCTACCGCTGCCCAGCCCGGATGGAACAAGTGTAGTTGGGATGGGGGGGCGTGGCTAGTAGGCACCTCCCCCCCTACCAGCTACACTTGCTCTCAACCATGTTAGTAGTAGTAGTAGTAGTAGTAGTAGTAGTAGTAGTAGTAGTAGTAGTAGTAGTAGTAGTAGTAGTAGTAGTAGTAGGAGTTGTAGTAGTAGTAGTAGTAGCCTTCTTCTTGTGCGATTTCAATGAGAAGTTTTCAAAACTCAATCCTAAAGCCTTCCTAAAAAGCCTGAACTACTCTAAAGCTTTCAAAAATGACAAGACGCACTCCAAAATGTCTTAAAACCTTGAAGCAGCGGAGCTTTTAAGACGAGGCGGCTTCGAACCTGAAAGCCAAGCTCTCCGGCGGAGAGGAGACCCATCGTTTCTTGTGAGGTCTTCCTTTCTTCCGTGTTGGGGTTAGGGTGTTCAGGGTTTAGGGTCTAGGGGTTTGGGGTTTAGGTTTAGAGTCCAGGGGTTTAGGGGTTTGGGGGTTCAGGGTGGGGCTTTGTCCGAGAATGTTTCACAGGCATTTGTCAAAGGGGTTTCACCGGTCTTTGAAAGCAAAGAAGGTGGAGTTTAATTTGAGGCGGCTTTTGGTTTATGGTTTAGGGTTTTTGGTTTATGGTTTAGGGTTTTTGGTCGGGGTTTGAGGCTTTGAGGCCTCAGGGATCCATCTCGGCGCCTCTGAAATGCGGCCAAAGGGACCTGAGTCGCTGTACTTACATACGACCGTATCTCTGTACTTTTACCTTGCCTAGGGCTCCAGTTACCTAAATAGTAGGTTACTGGGGTACATAATATATGGTTAGTGGCCTAGTATTTAGTATCTCCGTACTTCTCCCTGTTGAGGTGCAGAGACTCTGCTTGGAGGATCATGGGACTTAGTAAGTAAGGTTGTAAGTACCCTAATTGGGGTTATAAGTATTTGTAAGTATAGTTACCCTAATTATCACCCTAGTTACTAAGTCCCATGATCCTTTAAGTCTGTTCCCTCCAGAAGGTAGCGCTCAGATGTCTCGCCGACACCCCCGGACGCAGAACTCCACCGTTTTACGGCGGGCGCGCGCGCGGGGGGCGTTTGGGCTGAGACCGTTGGTTGGTAACTATAAGTAGCTTAAGGGCTTGATGCACCTTTGTTTTGGGTGTTTCCGTTTCTGTGAACTTTGAAGGGTCCCATAAAACTCCCTGCCGACGGCCCGATGAAACCCTACTACGTGCAAGGGCACTAAGTAGTCCTATACGCAGCACCATGAACTCAAACAGGCACCTCCTAAACCCTAAAATCCTTAACCTTAAATGAGCCATAAACCCCAAACCTTAAAATTGCCAACCACACTTAAACAAAAACCTGATTGAATAAACCCTAAACTCTACTAAACCGTGGCTCAAGACTGCCGCATCTTGCTCTGCCTCTGAGTAGCCCATAGGCCGCCGATCGCCTGCAACGGAAAGTCGCTGAGTTGGAAGTTGCCAACGACGAGCTTCAGGTTCGCTACCTGGGTTCTTGTTAAAGGCTCCTTTAAAGGATCTATAAGGGTTCCTTTAAGGGTTTATCCTGGGTTCTTGTTAAAGGCTCCTTTAAAGGATCTACAAGGGTTCCTTTAAGGGTTTATCCTGGGTTCTTGTTAAAGGCTCCTTTAAAGGATCTATAAGGGTTCCTTTAAGGGTTTAGGGTTTCGGGTTAAGGGATTTAGTTCGCTTCTCCTGAGGGTCTTCTTGGAGGTTCGTGGCAGCTACAAGTGGAGTTACAAGTCCCCAATATGGATGGATTGGAAATACATTTACCCTAGTTATAGCCCTACTTATATCTACCCCTGAACCTCCCAGTAAGGGTCCATGTACCCAAATTAGGAAAGGTTCCTTTAGGGGGTTCCTACAAGGGCTTCAGGTTCGCTTCGGCATCTGTTTGCACTGTTTACGGTTTAGGGTTTAGGGTTGTTGCACGCTGTTATACGGGTGTTTGTGTTTTATCATCAGTGACTTGCAGTTGTCGTCGTGGTGTTGGTGAAGTCGCCGTCTTGGTCGTCGATTGTCACTTTTGTTTATGTGCTGACAGAAACCCCTAGCCTTCAACTAAATGCCGAACCCAGTGCCGCTTGTAGAACCCCAGGTAGGGCCCTTTGAGAACTTGAGTCAGAAGCCTGTACGTTACACTCAACGACATGCTTGCGGCGTGCAGGCCTCCAAAACGGATGTGGAGAGCCAGCTGAAATCCCGGGAGGAGGCAGCTTTCGGGTGCCTGTAACTTACCTTTGGTTAGTAGGGAACGGAGGAATGGGGTACAAGTATTATTACTATTACTACCATTCTTCCATTCCCTACTAACCAAAGGGAAGGCAAATGGTTTTGTTAGCCTACCTTTTTCTCGATGTTCGTTCTGGATTGCTGGACATAACGTGTTTGCTACTTCCTGTCGGCCTCTTGCATTGTTCTTGGTTGGGGTTCGGCGGGATTTTCAGGGCTTGTCGTTTCTAGTTCTTATTGGAATTGTTTTTAGTAATTGTGTGACGAGTCTTGGCACTGCCACCATGTAGCAATGCTTCATTGCGACTGCTTCCTGATGCTCTAGTCTGGTAGCATCCCATGATGATTAGGTCTCGTAGCCAAGATAAGTTTGAAATGAATGTGGAGATTTCCCCCTTCAGCCTTACACGATTCACCCCCACCCGAAACCCCTAACACTCCCAAACCTTAACACCTAAACACTAGACCCCTCCATGCGTCAACAATCTCTAATCCCTAAACCCCTACACTCAACCCCAATTGCCCTAAACCCCTAAAGCCCTAAACCTCATAACCTGCCAAAGCCGCCGACGTCCTATAATAAGGAGTACTCGGACCCTGAGAATGAATCTACATTGAGCCTTGCAGCCAAAAATCCCCAAAAACTCCACCGGAGCCCTAAACCCTCAACCCCTAGACCCTAAACCCCAAAGAATCCGGCAAAGCCCAAAGTCTACGTGAGCCAGGCCGTCGAAGGCCTTCAGAGTCGTCTCGCCGACCTGGAGGCATCCGCGAAAGGGTCTAAGTAGGGTGGGGGCTATATTTCTTTCACTTACTACGCCAATTAATAGTAGTCCCAAACCCTACTTGGAGGATCATGGGACTTAGTAACTAGGGTTATAAGTAGAGTAACTATACTTATAACTACTTATAACCCCAATTAGGGTACTTATAACCTTACTTACTAAGTCCCATGATCCTCCAAGTAGACCCTAAACTCTTATAGATCCCATTATAGGAGCCCTTATAGATCCCTTTTAAAGGAACCCTTAACCCTAAGGCTCACAGAACCCTTGTAGTAATAATCACAAGGAACCTCGGGTCTCTGTTCCGTTTCAGGGTTTGGGATGTTGGGTTTAGGGGTTTAGGGTTTAGGGTTTAGGGTTTAGGGTTTAGGGTTTAGGGTTTAGGGTTTAGGCTAGGCACCTAAACCCCCATTTGTAGGTAAAAAAATGGCCCATTACCTATAAAAAAGGCTATGATTCTACATAAGTTGGGGGTCCAGGTAGGTACCTACGTGTGGAGAGTTTGGTGTTTCGATAGTTGGACAGCGCTTTGGGTAAGTATCCCCCATATAGGTGCCTAGGACCTTTGGGTCACCACCGCAGCTCCGGTTTAAATGTAGGTTTAAAGTCTTAAGGTTTAGGCTAGGGTTTTACGGTTTAGTGATGTAGGGGCTTATTATTCAAGGGTTCAGGGATGTAGGGGTTTCGGGGTTTAGGGTTTCCGGATCCAGGGGTTTAATATTTGATAATGTAATTTAGGGGTTTAGGGATATCGGGGTTTAGGGTTGCGGGCGCTAGGGTTTAGGGATGTAAGGGGAAAGCCCTGCTGCGGGCTCATGCTGGATGAGCCTGGAGGTGTAAAGTCTGCTATGTGGGGAGGCTCCCCTAATGGGACTTAGTAAGTAAGTAAGGTTTTAAGTACCTGAATTGGGGTTATAAGTAGTTATAAGTATAGTTACCTTGATTTTAACCCTAGTTGCGAAGTCCCATGATCCTTTAGGGACGTATATAGACTTCAACTGTTGCTACGCGGCCCCCCGGCGTGAGACCGGACTCACCCAGCATGCCCCAGAGCCACTGGACAACCTGGACAACCTTTTTCTGGTGATTCCGAAGGCATACGGCATCACCTTCAAGGTTTCAAGCTCTCCGGAGATTATGGCTGATGATAGAAACCCAGAATAGGGAATATACCATATAATTCCCGTAGTTTAGGGTCATGAAGGTAATGCAGGATTTATATCATCAACCGTTATCTCTGACAACTACCACCGGGGGGGTGGTGGGTGCTGGACTTGAGGAGTGAAGTCGAGCTGCACTTCTGTCTCGACAGTCTGGAGACCTACTTGGAGGTTCATGGGTAGTCATAAGTCCCCTAATTAGGGTTTAGGGTTTAGGGATATGGGATATAATTTATAGTTACCTTACTTAATAATATACCCACTTAAAACTACCCCTGAACCTCCCAGTACAAGAAGGTTCAGGGCAAGTCCGCTGGCCCGAGCAGCGAGCACGGCACAGACGCGAAGACGAAGGAAGCGATCGAAGAGCTCCGATTCCCGAGATGTTTCCCGTTTTCTCCCATAAAGGTTCCTTGATGGATTCCTTAAGCATAGGACCCTAACCCGAACCCTGTGGGAATCCTACACCTACGAACCCTAAGCCGGAAACGTAGGAACCCCAAGACCTAAACCTAGGAACCCTAAACCCTAACCTCGGAATCCTAACCCTGGGAACCCTGAACCTAGGAACCCTATACCCTACCTTAGGCCCCCTCAAGTTTTGCTTCGAGGATGAGCTTCCTAGACCTCCCCAACTACCCTCTAATATACTTAAAATACCCACAATTAGGCACTCCATTAAAGGGCCATTCGGGAATCTTGGCAGACTCTATCCTCTCCCTCTTCTTCCTAAACCCTATAAACCCTATAGGCCCGAAATTAAAGGGCCATTGGGGGATCCCGGTTGATGGACAGGCGAAGAGAAAGCACTTTGAAGACCTCGTCTCGACGGTCCGGAACGAGGTCACGCGTGTCTTCGAGCCTTGGGGATGTATGATACAGGGGCCTTACCCAGGGGCCCCAAACTAGTTCACCTGTACTATTTTGGGGGTTCCTTGTTATAGTTATAGCATAATATGCCCCAAAACCCTCTTCAATCCTATTATTGTTATTCAGGCCCCTATATTCGGGTTTTCAGAGAGTTTCGTGTGGATTTCATGTACGGATAATTGTCAGGTGGTATACGGGCATTTATCGGCCTTTTTGAGACGATGGGTACATGGGGAGTTGGCGCGCATGCTTGCTGGACCGTTTGGATCCACAGTTCATGCTGCAGAAGTCCGCGGCATTGTACTTCCTTCACGTGCAAAGTGCCCCGGCCATTGTTGTGTCTTTGGGTAATACATGGGTAGTTGTCAAAATTACGGCCCCTTTTTGGATACCCTAAATAATAGGTGCCGTATTATGATAGGGACCCCAAAAGGGACCCTAATTTTGACAACCACCCGCTCGTCTGTCGTGCAAGGTCTTCGTGGATGAGTTTTGTCAGCTAAATACAAAACGTGTCCGCAAAGGCAGACATTCAGACCCCATGCTTCAAAATCCCAAATTATACTTGTAACCCTACTTTATAAACCCTAAACTCTAAACCCAAACCTTAAACCCCCCTAACTAAACTCTAAACTCTAAACCCTAAACGCAAGCTCCAGTTTATGGTGCAAGCTGCCGGGATCTTTAGGCCTCTTGCTCTAGACCTTTCTGGGTTCAGTTGGATGGAATCAGGGTCTGGGAGTTTCAAGAAGCGTCCTCCAAAATGCAGATTACCGAGATGGGACTGAAATTGAATTTCAAATCCGTTTCGCTACACATGCGAGTTTCAAAGTCGGGGACCCTGACCTAGACCGAAAACATCAGGATCCTCTATGACTCAGATGCAACACCCATAACACCCTTGACAAACCCCTATAAAACCCCTTTTGAGAACTGCACAAAGCCCTTTAAAGGCCCGATAAAGTCTCTGTAGATCCCGTTCGTCCGTGCCCCACTGGCGGTGTCCTACTACCACTACCAGTGCTACCACTACCGCTACTGCTACTACTGCTACTACTGCTGCTGCCACCACCACCACCACCACCACCACCACCAGCACCACCACCACCACCACTACCACAACCACCGCCACCACCACTCCCACTACCGCTGCCGCTACCACAACTATTATATACTACTGCTACTACTACTACTACTACTACTACTACTACTACTACTACTACTACTACTACTACTACTACTACTACTACTACTACTACCGTTATTGCGAATAGCCATAACATAACAGTATTACTATTGTTGCCAGTCTCAATCCTACTCTTCTTGTTATTGTTTTTGCTGTTCTTAGTCTTATTAATATTACTGTTTCATTCTTATTCATTAGTATTCCCATTCTATTGTTTACCCTTATTCGTATTATTAATCTAAATCTTGTTATGCCTATTCTCACTATTACTCGTGTGATCGTTATTATTCGTATGCTTTAGTTGTCTTATGTTTAACCTCAGCCTTAGTCTTATTCTTATATTGCCTTTTATTTTGTATCATTATTCCTATTCTTGTTATTCTACTTATGATCCTTATCGTTGTTCCTATCTTTACTATTATTATTTTCTCCGTAGTCTTATTTTTACCCTTATCCCTGTCCTAATTCTTAGTCGGTATGTGATAGCATTATTGTTGTTATTCTTAATTTTCTTATTGTCACTCTTGTTCTGAGTGTTAGTCTTGGTCTTAGTCTTCTTCTGGTTCTGATTATGTGTCTCATTCTTATGCCTATCCTTATTCTTGTTCTCTTTCATATTTTAATCTTACTAGTGTTCTTAATCTTATTCTGACTACCAGTCTTAGTCTTATTCTTATACTCACTCTCAGTCTTATGCATATTATTAGTCTTAATTTGTTTCATGCTTATTCTCATGTTCACCTTTTGTTCATAAGTCGTAGTAGTCTTTGAAGCTTGAGTATTAATACTATTCTTCTGAATATTACCTATAGTCTCTATTGTACTTCCATTTTTGGTTAGACAGTTGTTTGGTTAGGATCCTATAATACAGTTTTGGGTTAACGGGTACTTGTTATTGCTACTGTTGATGATATAAATCCTGCACTACTCATAATCAAGAATATACCATAATTCCCATAGTTTAGGGCCCTTAAGGTATTTCAGGATACATATCATCATCCCTCAAAGGTACCCTTATAGATCCCTTTAAAGGAACCCAGGGTCCTTAAGATAATGCAGGATGTATATCACCAACAGTACGACGATCAGGCCGACGAAAAGCGGCGGGACTTGGAGGATGCTTTGAAAGAGAGCCAGGCGGCTGATCTCTGGGAGTTCATGCTGTGGGTTTACCTCGAGGCTCCAAAGTAGTTCCTTTTTGGGGCTCATATATAGAATCCTATAAGGTAATCTCAAAAAGGAACTACTATGGAGCGTATGGGTAGGGGTTTAGGAGTACAGGGGTTTAGGATTTAGAGTTTCGTGGTTTAAGGGCTGTGGGTTTAGTGGTTGGGGCCTTGGGCTTAGGGCTTCGGGGTTTAGGATTTAGGGTTTTTGGGGTTTTAGGTGCATGGATTCTCTCATACATGGAACCGTATGTGGGGCTCTTGTAGGGTGTTGGTGGTTATGTAATAGGGCATTCTGAACGGGCTTTGATGATTAGTTGGAGGATCTGCTAGGGGTTTGGTTTTATGATAGATTTTTTTGTGCAGGCTTTTTTGCTCGTTCTTATAAAGAGGTTTAGCTCTTGTTTATAGCTTGTTATCAGGGTGCAGGGTGCCTTCAAACCCAAAGAACACGTCAAGCTCGAGCCCCAGCTCCCAATGGAAGAGCTTTAAACCCGAAGCCCTAGGGCATTGTATTCTTAGGGGTGCTTAGAAATAACTTTTAATTTTTGATCATTATATTCCCTAAGAAACAGCTAAAATTAGAATTTTTGCTAGGGTTCTAAGTTCAGTATTGAGCTTCAGAGGAGACTTGCTCAGAGCTAGGACCCTCCTGTTTGGGTGCTTGGTGCGTCATAGGATCCCTAGAGAAAGCCCTTAAAGGGGCTCTTTAAAGGGATGCTGACGGATTTCGGACTTTGCTCAGTCGGACTCTTGGTCGAGGTCGACGGTCCTAGAGGGACCCTACTCAACGGATCATGGGACTCAGCAACCGGTTTAGGATTCATATAGGGTTACACACAAGGCGATTTTTTGATTTTGTTTGAGGTAGTTCGTCGTAGTCATAATACCGGTTGATTAAGGTGCTCTATAGACTTGCTCATTACGTCTTTGGGCTTCATTCCACGAGAAAGAGAATACCGATACCCTAGCCACATTCAAGCAGCTTTCATGATATGCAACCTAGAATATATGATATACATATTCAAAATGTACATATATATATATATAGTATAATATAACTGTTCTCAGACGTGTTATGCAGAAATTTGAGCTCCACGCTTGCAAGGCGGCGGTGCAGGAAGCGAAGGCTCAACTTGCGGCGAACCGGGCGGAGGCTCATCCGACGCGTGGTCAACAATGGTTTAAAGTTTAGGAGTTTAGGGTTTAGGTTTAGGGTTTAGGTTTAGGGTTTAGGAATTAATTAGGGATACAGGGATACGTTGCTTGGGATTCTCGTACTACGGCTCGTAAGAAGTAGGGCTTTACAAATCATGGTCTCGCATTTTTTGTTCTTAAATCTTGACAGAACATCCCCAAAATCTAAGTTACAACGATGCGGTCGGGCATCCAAATCCCCAAACCCAATCTCCAAAGCTGTGCAGCCGAACCAGCTCTGCCGTACCCTAAACCCTAAAACCATAGCTTGCAGGTACGTTTACAACTTGAGCAACTAGGCTTCCAGACTCTCTGCGCCCTAAACTTGACGGCACACTACCATAGCCTACTTGTCTGCAGGGGGCCTGCCGGTTTGAGAGGGGCTTATAATATACTCGTTTTAGACCGAGAGGGGGTCTTATGTCCGACAAGCATTTCGGTTGGCACGACAAGAAACGCCGATCCACCGACAAGCAAATCTATGGCTCCGCGAGAGGTTTTGCTGGTGCTGTCACATATCTCACATATATATATATATATATTATATTATATTATATTATATTTAATTAAAAATTTATTAGTCTTTCCTTGGAGGTGCCTCCCAAAGCCTCTCAGGAGCTTTGCAAGCATGCCACACCCCCCCGGACTCGGCACATCCCGGCACATGCCTCCGTGCACAGAACAACAGTCCCTAAAACGACCCTTTTCTGGGAGCCTGTGAGGTGTCGACAGCATCTAAGGGCATGGCATGTCCCAGCCTTTGCGGCACATCCCGGCACATCCCGGACATCCCGGAACATCCCTTTGGAAAGACAAACAGCCCCAAATACAACCCTTCTTCTGCGCACCTTGGAGGTGCCTCCCAAAGCCTCTCAGGAGCTTTGCAGGCATGCCACACCCCCCCGGACTCGGCACATCCCGGCACATCCCGGCACATCCCGGCACATCCCGGCACATCCCGGCACATGCACAGTCACAGAACAGTCCCTAAAACGACCCTTTTCTGGGAGCCTGTGAGGTGTCGACAGCATCTAAGGGCATGGCATGTCCCAGCCTTTGCGGCACATCCCGGCACATCCCGGAACATCCCTTTGGAAAGACAAACAGCCCCAAATACAACCCTTCTTCTGCGCACCTTGGAGGTGCCTCCCAAAGCCTCTCAGGAGCTTTGCAGGCATGCCACACCCCCCCGGACTCGGCACATCCCGGCACATCCCGGCACATCCCGGCACATCCCGGCACATGCCTCCGTGCACAGAACAACAGTCCCTAAGGGCATGGCATGTCCCGGCACATCCCGGCACATCCCGGCACATCCCGGAACATCCCTTTGGAAAGACAAACAGCCCCAAATACAACCCTTCTTCTGCGCACCTTGGAGGTGCCTCCCAAAGCCTCTCAGGAGCTTTGCAGGCATGCCACAC